CCATGTTTTTCCTTCGTCCCCATCAGCTGCCTAAGCCAATCCCATTCCCTGCACAGCAGTCCTGAGCAGGAGGTGGAGTTCTACTCCGGTCCTGCTATCTACCAAGTGTCAGTCATATTAATTTTAAATTACTTTTGTACAGCTTGGTGTCAAAACGATTAAAGCATGAAAAGAAAAAACTGAACTAGAGAGAGAGAACGGGGGGTGAGAGAGAATGAATAATTTACCTTGCATTTACAGCAAGGACATTTATGTTTCTTTAACTCCACAACTCTGAGAAGCTGAAACTTTATATTTCCTTGGCTGTGACCTGCACACAAATATGCTGTGCTCTGGATCCTTGCTGTCCGCAATAATCATTTGCAGCACAAAGGTGTGCCATGATCTGAGTTTGTCCCAGGCAAGGTTTGCTCAGCTCTGCTCTCACCATTCATTGTCACTGCCACCACTCACCTGCAGACCTCTTCTTCCCCACGGCTCTGCAATCGGCTGGGCTCGCCCCACAGCCGGTACACGCTGCGCTGCCGCTACACATCTCTATGCCGCATGGTGTGCTCTGCAGTGAGGAGCCGGGGAAGAGGAAAGGGCCTCAGCTGCAGCAAATGGGAGCAAACAATGCCACCTCCTTTTGACTCCCCCAGGTTTGTGCTGTCTACACCCAGAGTATGGAAATTGTGTGGTTTTGCACGTTTTAGGAGCTGTGACTGGGCTGCAGTATTGCATGGGATTTCACTTAAGCTTGCAAACACAAAAATGCTTCTTTCATTAATACTGGGATTCCCTTCCCATGCTAATGTTGCTTCAGCTGCTGACTCACAAATAAATCATTTAACTGACTTTCCCATTTGGGAAGCTCCTTTAATTCCCCTCATCCTCTGCCAGAGGCCTAGTGGGAGGCTCGAGAGCTGACGAGCAGAGCTTCCTGCTCAGCGGTTCAGTGATGTCACCCAGCCGTGTTCCAGGGGAGCACTGCCATCGCTGGTACCCGCAGCTTCCCCTGCTCAGCGCATGCAGCGTGGGAGCAGCAGCCTTCTGCTTTGCTGGATGCTGCCAGTTCAGGTCCAGAGCGATCTTTGCTCACCCATAAAAATGTAAGCCTGAACATTAGGAATACAGGTATGAAAATTGTATCATCTTTTCCTTTTTTTTTTTTTTTTTTTTTTTTTTTTACTTAATCAGGTGATTCTGTAATTCTACCTAGTGCTGAAAGCTAACATGACAGCAGGAGAGGGATTCATATTGCATCTATTATCAATAGTGCTTTTACATCTCTTACTTCTAAGCAAAGCCTTTACCTCTCAGCTGTGAAACAGTTCCAAACCCTAAGCTGTCTGCTGGCCAAGCCGTCAGCATCATTAATTGAACAAACTTCAGCCAGAATCATTGGTTTATACTTAATGACAGAGCCTGAACCTTTGCCAGCAGCACCTTCCCACTGCATGGGCATGCTGAGGGCTGCTCTGTTGGGCTACAGGCATGAGTGGCTTCATGAAACAGCCCTCAGGAACCACCAGAACCACTCAGACCACAAATATTAGCATGGTCCATACTGTTTCTATAAAAACAAAAAGAGAAGCAATAACTTACACCAGAGCACAAAAAAGAGGATGTTTAGAATAAAGCATTTTTCCTTGATTAAGAGCTCACAAAATCCAGGAGACGTGGGTTTTATTTTTCCCTTTTCCAATACTTGTATTTATTCAGTTGGACACTACAAATTTCTGTACTTCATTTTGATGTGTTTGGTTTTTTTAGGCTTTTGACAATCCTCCCATGATAAAGTATCTACCAAGCAACGCAAAGCTTTTCAGTCCAGACCCCTCAATCAATTCTTTGCTAGCAGGCTTTATCCCCCTGAAGTATCTAGGAAGATTTACTCTAACGGGACATGCAAACAAAGTGACATTTTCCAATCTCCTGCTAGCTAAACAGAGAATGGCAATTTCTCAAACATAACCAGCACCAGAATCTGGTGTGCTATTTGCTTTTCAGCAGTGGCTGTTGGCCTTCCCCAGGGCCTGCTTTTTTTACTGAGGGGCAAAAGGATCTGGAAGCAATTTATTCCCAGAAAAAGGTTTTTTGGGGGAATTTGATTTTAATTCGCTGACTTGCTCCAAGAAAGCAGCCCGTGTGCAAATCCGAAGGTCTGCTGATGAATAATCAGCAAGCAATGTTTTAATATTTTGATGGCAGAAGCGGTACAAGGCTGACAGAAGAAAAACAGATATCTACAAAACATTCTGAATTGACTAGAGTACAGAGACCAAAATAATGAAAGCGTCACAAAGAGAGCAACCAAAAGCTAGATGCTAAGAGGGACCTGAGGCCTAAAGCAGAGAACAGATCATCTGTAATTGGTCAGGATTGGAGGAGCTCAGAGTCATTGGACGTCCTCTCTCTGTCCTAAAGATTCCCAAGACCAGGATACCCATCTCCCTGCACCACGAAGGTTGAGGCTGACCAATAAACGAGACAGAACTTCACAAGACCCACAGATCAGGAACACAAGGTTGAAAACCCTTCACCCTAGATTTACATTTGGATTTTATGAAGCCACATACAAATTTTAGGAACGGCAATAAGGAAATGGAAGCTCATGAAAGGTGTGGGATATTGGGAATCGGGATATTTCTATGGAAATGCTTGATGGTTAACAGGATTTATGGGCACCTACTTACTGTCATTAATCTTTTTCTCTCACATCATTCTATTACACATCACCTGCTTTTCCTGAGTGCAGCCCCAATGCTGATGGAGCCACGGATTCAGTGCAGGAATGGTTCTGACGTCTGAGTAACCCACAGCCCCGTGTCAAGGCAGAGCAGGAAGAGGAGAATAGTATCATTAAGGTCAGAAAGACCACTAAGATCATCAAGTCCAGCCACCAACCAAGACAATGTCACTCAGTGCCACATCCACCCTTTTCATGAACACCTCTATGGATGATGACTGCACCTCCTCCTCCCCAGGCAGCCTGTTCCAGTGTATTACCATTCTTTCTGAAAATGTTTTTTCTAATATCCGAACTGAACCTCCCCGGTGCAACTTAAGGCCACTACCTCAAGCCCTATTGCTGTTATCTGAAGACCAGCTGACCCCACTTTTGCCACAACCTCTCTTCAGGTAGCTGTAGAGAGTGATGCGGTCTCCCCTGATCCTCCTCCTCCCCACATGGAACCATCCCATCTCCCTCAGCCTCTCCCCACAGCACTGTGCTCCAGAGCCCTCACAGCTCCGTTCCTTCCTCTGGACGCACTCCACGGTCTTTCTTGTAGTGAGGGGCCCAGCACTGAGCACAGCACTGAGGTGCCATGCAGAGGGATGGACGCCTCCTGCTCCTGCTGGCTGCACCGCTGCTGACACAACCAGGATGTCGTTGGGCTCCTCGTCCCCCTGGGCACCCTGCTGGCTCATGTGCAGCAGTTACCAGGATCCTGCTCCTCCACACAGCTCTCGGCTGCTCTGCCCCACGCCTGCAGCACTGCAGGCGCACAGCAGCACTGGGGCTGTTGCGGTCGTAGTGCCGGACCTGACACTTGCGCTTGTTCAAGCTCATCCCACTGGCTTCAGCCCCGCCAGCCTGCCCAGGTCCCTCCCCAGGACTCTCTCCCACCTCCTATTTCCCTCCCATTTTCCCACTCGGCAGCCAGAGGGCAGCAGAGGGAGGGATTTCACTTTTTTTTTTTTTTTTTTTTTTTTTTTTTTTTTTTTTTTTTTTTTTTGTTCTCAGCCCTTTGCAGCCAGAGCTTCGCAGCCCGAGCCCGGCCGTGCTGGGCAGTCCCGTACCGTATTTCCATTTACAAACTCCGCTCCCCTCCTCCCGAGCGGTAACTCCACGGCCTCGGGAAGGGCTCTCTGAGGGGCTCTCCCTCATGGCGGGGTTCCGTGCGTAATGAGGGGAAAAGGGCCCCCTCGAAGGTGGAGGAGGGTATCTGTGGAGTTCATCTCTCACTTTCCACAAAGGGAAATGGCGCTGGGGGCCGCCCCGGCTCCGTGCGCTCCTCATGGGCGCGGCGGTGAAGAGGGATCGCCCCCCCACTCGCAGCCGGCCTGGGACTCTTTCTCTGCCGCTCCACCCCCCCCCCCCCTCCTCCGCCTGAGCGGGAGTTTCCAGGAAGCGCTGAGGGGAGCCGCAGCACCGCTCAGCTCTCGCACAGCGCGCCCCTTCCGCCGAAGCCGTGGCAGGAACGCGAAGTAGTCCCAGCACCTCTCTGCTCTCAACCGCTATAAAGTGCCGTCCCGCTCTGCTCTCGCAGAAGATTATTACAGAAGCGGAGGGAGAGAAGCGTTTATCCCTTCTTCTCATCCCGTGGATTTGCGATGAAAAAGTGAGAAAGTAGAAGGGGGGGAGGGGGAAGGGAGATTAGAAAAAAAGCGCCGGCTGCGGCGAAGGGATCCGCAGGCGTGGAGAGTGAGGAGGCTGCAGGGCGCTGTGCGCGAGGGAGGGGTGAGCGGGAAAATGCGGTGCGGAGCCGGGAAATGCGCCCCAACTCCTGCCCGGGGGAGCGGCGCTGAGGGGCGGTCGCCGTCTCCCCCTTCTCAAGCGGACGGGGCAGCCGCAAAAGGCGAAGTTTAGGGAAGAGATTTTCCCCCGCCTCGAGGTGGAGGGTCTGGGGTCGCGGCTCGGCCCCGCCCGACGGGACGCGGCCCGTGGCGGCAGGTGAGCGGCCCCGGAGCGGTCCTCCACCTCCTGCCCCGCCGTCCCGTGTGCGAGGCGCCCCGTTTCCATCAGCGCTTGCGGCCCCGCCCGCCCCGCCGTTGGGTCCCGCCGTGGCTCGGTGGCGGCGCGAGGGAAGTTCGGCCCGGAACTCCCCGCTGTCGGGTTTGGTCGGGCCCCGCCGAGCTCTGCACCGTCCCGTTACCCCCGTTACCGCCCCCCGGCCCCGCGAGCCTTGGAGCGGACAAAAACCAAGCGGAGCCCCGCCGGGCGCAAGGCGGCACCACGAGGGCTGCGCCGATCGCCGGGCCTCGCGCTGCTCTCCCCACCCCCTCCGCAGCCCCATCCCCCACTGCAGCTCCCACAGCCGCCTCTCCCTCCCATTAACGCTGAAAGGGGAGGACGGCGGCTCTGATGGGTTTTTCTCAGGCTGTTTTCTCCCCCCTACCAACCGATACCGGCCCTGCAGAAGTGCAGAGCGCGCATCTGGCTCTGAGCGCGTCGGCTGAATGCCTGCTTTCCTCTGAGCCGATTCCCCTTGTTTTGCTTGTTCATTATAAGGGCTTGTCAGCGTGCTTTTTATAAACGTGTGATCTCTCCTTTTAGAAGCATCTGCGCTTTAAGAATAAGGTTTTGTCTTCCATCGTCGTTCTTGATAATAGCCACTTCAAGTGCTCCATTTTTGTCCTTAAAGTTCTATTTTATTGCCTTTTGTGAATCAGTGGAGGTCAGTTTAACCCTTCACGTATGAAAATCGGTGGTCACTGTACAAAAAGGTTGCTTTATTCTTCACTGATTTATGTTTATGATCACATTTCATTGAGTGAGAGTTGTTTTTTTTCCCCCCAGATAAGTCCTGATGTGTGCTGGAAGAAGTGTGTGCTTCAGCACTGATTAAAGTCATGTATGAGTTAATGAGAAGCTTGCAGAGTATGTGAAGCAAGAGAAAATCTTTAACCAGCTCTGCTGTTCCTTGTACATAGCACAAACTTGTAAGCTGTAACCAGAAGGTGGATTGGATGTGTGAAATGCTGCAGTAGGAGACTCCTGTAATTGCATCACAGGTGGATGCTCACTCAATTAATGTTAGCATCTTCACAATACGTGAAAGTTGGGGGTTTGGTTTTTTGTTTTTCTCAAATGTTTGTAAGGTGGCATATTTCAAAATATATTTAAATCCTTGGATGAAGGACGCTACAAACCTACAAAGCAGTATTTTCTGGCTTGGTTTTTCATTTTAAACAATGCCTTTGTTTGTTGGGATGTTGTTCTGGTGCTTTTTTTTTATTTTTTTCCCTATGCTAACTGCTTCCTGGATGAATAAATCGGTCATACATAAGAGACTCTCAGGTGGTGGAGGAACACAGTGCTGTAATATCAACATTCTAGTTGTGGGACTTCTAATTTAAGAAACACATTGCCAGAAGAAATAAGATCAAGGCTGAATCTTGCTTGCATTTTGGTCCAAATGTAAGATCCCCTTCCTAAGCAGTCCCTGATGAACACGGAGGGTAATTAAGTAAAAATAAAACCTTTTACTTCAGCCCTCTCCATCGTTTTTAACGTAAGCAAGAAAATGCAACTGTTTTCATTATGTGTTCTGATATTTCTTAATTTTGTACTGCATCTTCAGACCTCCAGAGGCTTATAATTGGTGTGATTTGGGGGTATTTCTAGACGATACTTTTAAGGAAATCATCTCACTGTGTCCCAGAAGGAGCTACTGAGCACTCATTCTCTTAAAAAAAAAAAAAAAAAAAAAAAAAAAAAGACTGAATTTCTACAGCTTTGCCTTCTACCCCCATCCCCCTTTTTATTCCTCCCAATGGAATTTTTGTATTTAATTGTTGAATTCTTCTTTCCGTAGATTAAGTTAAATATTTATTGGTATCAGTTGGATTTTTTTTTTTTTCTAAAGAAGAGAGCCTTATTGCTGAGACAGTCTCTTCATACTGCATTGAGGATGTGACATAGAAAGGGACTGAAGGAAAGTTGTCTTGTGCTGGGAAAGTTAGTGCTGTTTTTGGAAAAAAAATATTGTAGGAAATGAAAATTAAAAATACATTTTATGCTGGTGGGAACTTTGTAATGAGGCTGAGAGAGGATTTGAAATCTCAGAAAAGTGATTATTACAAGGGAAAAAGCAGGGCTTTATCATCCATTTGTAAAAGTTCTCCAGCTGAATATCCTTTTGGGGAACTGAAATTTGGCTCGAGTCTGTTTATGAACATCTGTTGAATGTAGTTTTAAAAAGGCACAGATTATAATCCTAGTTTCTGTTGTCTGTTTAGGCTGGAATTGACAAAAACAAAGTACAAAAAACAAAGATGCAATGGCCTTTTTTTTTTTTTTTTTTTTAAATAGTGAGCTGCATGAATCTTCCACAGTCTGCGGTGCTGATTACCTGGCTGCGTGTGTTCATTCTGTACATTTTTCTCCTTGGCTTATGACATACAGATGTGTGGCTTCCGCCCCCGTCTGTAGTTGGTTAATTCCATTACTTTTCCAGTGAGCTTTCAAATTTTGTGGGGTTTGGTTTTTTGTTTTCTTCACCAGCAGCCTGTTGGATGCCTGTGTTGTCTCTGATGTTTTTGTACAAGGAGTAGAGTGATGTATTTGAGGGGAAATTTTGAGAAATCTCAGGTGTTCCCAGAACCGTCGCCGTTCACTCAGTCCAGCTTTGCATCCTTCCCACCTGTCTTCAACTACATTTCTGTAAATGCAATCACTTGGTGTCTGCTGTCTCTAGATAGTACTACTTCAGCATCTATTTCTGCAGTATTTGTGACCTCCTGTTATTCACGGAGGTCTTCGCTGTAATTTTCCCTCCTATTATTTTGCTTCTTTTGCAGCCTGATGTTTTTGTTGTTGTTTTATATTCCCAGCAAGCATCTTGTGAATGCTTCAGCCCAAAATTTAGGTCATCTCTGATAGAAGAAGGAAGAGGAAACCTAAAAAGTAAAAATAAGATTTCAATGTGCTTTAAAAAGCGCTTTTCTTTTAGGGGGGGGGGGGGGGGAAAGAAAAAAAAAAAAAAAAAAAGAGAGGAAAAGCATGCGAACTCTTCTGCATTTGACGTTCTGTGTGGACCGGGGAGAATGCAGGGTGCCTCTGTTTGATTTCAGGAGGAGAGCTGTGTTATCTTCATGTGACCGTGGCTTCTTACCCATGTGCTTTCCTGGTCTTTTTCATTTTCACACCTGCCTTGATCTTTAATCGCTCAAATTATTCATAGACTTGCCCTGGAAGAAGAAGAGGCTGACCTCTTCCCATCTGGAGTAGATGGATTTACTATCAGTAATTGTAAATGGACTCGGATGACTTAATGGTTTTTGTGCTTAAATTTTTTAATTCTGTGATTTCATTTCTTTTTAAGGATTCTGCCCACAGCTTCCCTGAACTGATAGATCTCTATGGTATAACTTCAAGTTACTTTGTGCAAACTATATCTTAACATTGGGCTCGCATCCACAACGTGCTGATGATCCCCCATTGACTGCTGAGTTGTCATAGAGCTCCGTTTGCACAGTACCAGGCCTGGAAGTTGCAGTTGTCTTTTTTTTTTTCCCCCTGTAATTATATACAATGTCTTTCATTACAAAGAACCTGAAGACAATTTATGAAATCAGCAGCCACAAAAGTAATGCGGTGCCCGTTGGGGGTTATGTATTCACATTGATTACAATTTAACAATCCCTCAGCCTGAGGATATCTGAGAGGACTTAGCGCCAACTGCTTTTCAATCCGTGCGCGCTGCTATAAGCTGCAAGCTGGAACTGATAGATATCTGTTGCTATTGCCAGCAACTATTGGTTCTCTGTTACTTCAGTACCTTAATTTAAATTATTAAGAAACTTGTGAATCTGTTTTGTTTTTCTACTCTTCCTAGCACTGAAGCTTCATCTGGCCTAGATGTACAATGAATACTTTGGTGAATGTGATTTAGTCCAGTTTCCTCCATTAACTCAAGAAAGACTTTTTTCTATATCGCTTTTCTCTCAAAAGGAGAGAAGACGTGCACAGCTGGAGTTCACCTGGACAAACTGAACTTGGAGCAGAATAAGATGCAAAATGAGAACATTTGTGATTTAGACTCAAGAAACTTTGTGTTGTTCTGCTGTAAAATTGTACTTGGTAAAAATCAACCAGAGGGAACCACCTGTAACCAAACACATCTTGATGATGGAGGGAGCACTACGAGGTGACTTCAATGACTCAGCTTTGGAGCTGTGTATTTAGATAGCCATCCCATATTTCCTCAGTGCTGTCTTTTGCATACTGTGCTGCTGTTCTCTCCGTTTTGCTCTTCCTAATTCTGAGAATGCAATGATTTGTTTTTTTTCCACAAGCAGATGACAGTTTGCTGTCTCCCCAGTGTCTTCCCATGGTTGCCTGTATGAGGTAAGTTACATTCTGACACTAATGCTGTATTCTCTGCATGTTCTACATTCTACACTTCAGAAATCAGCAGCTCTCTGGCTTCCTAGGTTTTAGCTGAGTTTAACCTTTGGTGATTGGTAAACAGACTTGTTAAGAAAATTCATGGCCCAGTCATTCCTCTTTCAAATCCCAGAGTCTTGTCAAGCAAACTCTGCACCCTTGTCAGTCTATGTGTCAGTGTCCCTCTCATTGCAGTTTCTGGCTTTTCTGTTGGAGAAGGGAACTTAGAAAGGCATCTTTAGGATGATGGATGTTCTGTGTGGGTACAGATAGCAGTATTTTTGGTGCAAATAAGGAAAGAAAATGCTCTCCAACGTCTGAATGTAGATGCAAAATAACAGAATCACAGAATGGCCTGAGTTGGAAGGGACATCAAGGATCATGAATCTCCAACCCCCACAGGCAGAGTGAACAGAACCATGCAGGTTCTTTGTTAATGCTGGGTCATTTGTTTCTTCTTCCCTCTGTCTAACACGTTTGATAGGTTATTAATTGAAATTAGTTCAGCCAACTTCATGGATTAGTGATGTATTTCATAGGCCTGTCTCTGGCCAACACAAATCTTGCAAGGAAAAAAAGAAACTTTTTATTTTTTTCTAATTTCTAGCAACAAGGGGATTGAGGGCACCTTCAGTAGATCTGCAGATGACACCAAGTTGGGAGGGAGTGTTGATCTGCCGGAGGGGAGAAGGGCACTGCAGAGAGAGCTGGGTAGCCTGGATCGATGGGCAAGGTTAACTGTATGCATTTCAGTAGGGCCAAGAATTGGGTCCTGCATTTTGGTCACAGCAACCCCAGGCAACCCTACGGGATTGGGGAAGAGTGGCTGGAAGCTGCCTGGTGGAAAGGGACCTTGGTGTGCTGATGGACAGTGGGCTGAATATGAGCCAGCAGTGTGCCCAGGTGGCCAAGAACATCAATGGCATCCTGGCTTGGATCAGGAATGCTGTGGTGAGCAGGACTGGGGAAGTCATCCTGCCCTGGACTCGGCACTGCTGAGGCCTCACCTCGAGTGCTGTGTTCAGATTTGGGCACCTCAGCACAGAAAGGACACGGAGGTGCTGCAGCAGGTCCAAAGCAGGGCAGCAAGGCTGGGGAAGGGCTTGGAGGATATGGCCTCCGAAGAGAGACTGAAGGAACTGGGGCTGTTCGGTCTGGGGAGAAGGAGGCTGAGGGCAGACCTTATTGCCCTCTTCCAATACCTGAAAGGTGACAACAGCAGAGCAGGGTTGGTCTCTTCTCACTGGTGACAGGACGAGGGGGAATGGCCTCAAGTTGCGCCAGGGTAAGTTTAGGTTGGATATCAGGAAAAGCAATGGGCTGCCCAGGGAGGTGGCTGAGTCACCATCCCTGGATGTGCTTAAAAACCGTTTGGATGTGGTGCTCAGGGACATGATTTAGCAGGGGGTTGTTAGGGCAGTAGGTCATGGTTGGACTTGATGATCTTTAAGGTTTTTTTCCAACCTGAATTATTCTATGGCTCTAGGGGTAAACCCAGAAACACACACATCTCTTATCAAACTGTTTGAGATATACACAGGTCTCCTTGAAAGTAATGGCTCCTTATTATTTCCTTGGAAACAACGACAGATACGAAGAGCACAATAACACTATTTGATAGAGGAAGGTCTTAGCTGCAAAACACTCTTTTTCAACGTAGTCACCACTGTTAGCTGTGCGTTTTTGCAATGAAGAGGAGCCTGCATGCCATACATCAAAATCTGTGCTGGTGAAGGTGATCTGCTGCCAGTACTGCTGAAACGCAGCACCCACTGCCTCACTGCGCTCACATCGACGTTCAACAAATGTCAATGAACTTCATGCTGTTTTTTTCCACGTGGAAGAATTCAGTTCCACACCTTCGCTTCATACGCATGTCCATGTCAGCTGTGATTCTGTCAGCATGCCCCTCTGCTGCCATCTGCCACAACAAAATATAATGGACTGTTGGCAGGAAGGCTCAACTACTGCCATGCCACCAACAGCTGCCTGTGGCGTTGTGAGCCAATGTAATATAGGAGGCACTACCTTTGGAACAGCTCTGCTCATTGTTTAGCACCATTATAATTTTCCAGCTACCCCTTCAACAATTGCAGTTGCAAATTGATGTGGCTATAACTGATGTGGCTTGGAGTGCAGGTTGTGTCCCAAAGGATGCTCGTGTGCAGACTGCATCTCTTCTTAATCCCATAGTAACGCTGCAGCTAATTCTGATGGTTTCAGCTCTTCTGATGAGCTACCACGCTGCTTTTTGTTTTGTCTTTCTTTTCTGAGTTTAAACAGTGCATCTTGTATTTGTTCAACTTAAGGTTACTTTTTACTTGCAGTGCTTTTGTAATGTCTCCATTACTTATGGGAGCTGAGGGTGTTCTTTTTGATTCAAAGTGTTTGATGAATATATTTGTAGGCATCTGCAAACTTTGTCCTTGCTTCATCTACTTATTCTGTATTTACTTTAAGATAAAACTATCTTCTCTCCCCTAGATACGATGGGTCTTTCCTTCAGCTATAGTAGAGCTTCCTGTTGGTGTTTTGTTATTTCTGAGTAAGGAAAGTCTGATATCTTTCAGCTCAGTTGTTGCTTCATCTCCTCTGCTCTCCCAGGGGGTCTCACATGCACTTTCAGTTCTGCCTTACATTCTTGATTTCGTGATGTTCCCTACTATTTACATTTCCTCACGTATATTCTCTTCATACCATCTGCTACTTTATGTCTTGCTCATCTCTGAATTTGGTAACCATGCTGCATGCAACAGCATGCTACCTTATTTTCTTCAAATTTAATAAAAAGGTTTTAAAAGAACAAAGCAAGTTAAAATTCACCATTTCTATCTAGACATCATAACTGAAGAAGGAGCCGTTGAAGGCCTTCAAATCCTCAAGATGGATGCATTTATAGCCGAGATCTTGTTTGTTGTTTATGCGAGAGGCATGTTATCCGATCCGCCACAGAGGTTTCACTACTGACAAAAATTAAGTTGTTATAGAATGCTCCCCTATCAATTCTTTTCTTTAGAATGCAGTAATTCTACTAAGCAGTATTTACTTCAGAGTCGGTGTGTGGCTGTGCCTTGTTAGATAAAAGCTGCAGTACTAAAACTGTTCTACTGAACTTAGCTCCTGACCTCCCTTCTAAGGCCACGTCTACAAAGGGATGATACATCAACCCAGTCCGTTTGATCTAATTACAGCTATTTAACTATGTTGAGCACAAGTACATCCATCTCACTTTGTTATGCTGATTTAAAGTATTTTCACTGTTGATCGTGTGCACACCATCCTTTTTTATATCAATACCTCTCAAAATACTCTGTGCCATTATCCTGCGGAGCGCTATTCTGCTTCTTAGCTCCATGTTCTTTTTCACAGCAGGCTGATAGGGAATTCTCTGGAATGTGGGAATCCTACAGGTCAAACTGACAATTTACTATTGCTTTTTTCTTGGCATTGATTTTTGCCTGTGCAACTTCTTCCTCAAAATGCTGCAAGGTGGCACGAAGAAAAAGCCAGTAAATCCATTATAAGGCTTGTTCCTCAGAGGCTGCATAGGTGGAATGGTTTTCTTCTACAGCTTTGTAAGTAGCAAAAACTCTGTGTAGTAGAAGAAATGCAAAAAGGGAAACCATCAGGTATGATCAACCTGTAACTTCCATGCAGTGTTTCTGGAGCAGCTGACATGGTGTGCTGTGTCTGAGTGCAGTCGCTCACAGTGCCTGGGTAGCACAGGAGGCCGATGCAGCAGCTGAACAGCAGGATGAGATGCATTGCACTCATGGAAATCTGTGCAGATCTCAGCTGCAGAGGTAAAATGCAAAGCGAGGGCTTCCCTTAACATACAGAAGCCCGTTGCTGTCTATGGAAAAGCATTATTTCTGATTACTTGCGGAACCAGCTGGGTTTGAGTCAGGGATGTTGTCATGGGTTTTTTAATGCATATAGCTGAAGAAGATGCTGATCTTGTGTCATAAAGCTAATGCGTGAGAAGTTACTGAGAGCTTTTCCCAGGTACAAACCATGAATTAGGCCATAGGGGTCCAAGGAACAAACATGGCCTATTGAGCCAGGAGAGAGAATTTATGAAGACTGTGAACAGTTTCTTAATGCTTGCACAAGGCCTTGCTCATCAGTGAAGGTGATTTACCATTAAGTGGATACAGAACAGTACTACAAAACTTTCTCATAACAGTCTAGAAACTTGAAATTGCTCTGATTTGTACAACATCTGTAAGATACTAAAGGGTGGGTGAAGACAAGGAGCAGAAAGGTGACTTTGATATTATCCAGTGAGAAAAACCTCAGCAAAGTATTCCCTTTGAGGAAGACCTGTGCACCTTTCTCAACAGAATTTTTCTCCCTGTACTTTCTATAATGGTATAGCAGTCAGAGAGACATCAGGAAACTTTGGTCCCATGTGGATATTTAATGTCCTATCTTTAAACATATATATCTTCTACCCATGCTGATAATATTTTTCGTTGTTTCTGCATCAGTTTTGTTGCTTTATCAAATCTTACTGTGAATTTAGACTATTTCCTGTCCCATTTTCAGTGAACATGAACATTCAATTGCCAACATTCAGCATAACGAAGTGGAAGTTTGGTATTTTGTCCCCCCATGGTTCTCAGGTCAGCTCTCCCCTTTCGTTTTTCTGAGTCACCCAGCATTCTCCTTGTTCCTTGTGCTCTTCTCTGTTGGTTTTTATCAGTTTTTATGTTTTACGTGGTGCCTAAAACAGGATACAATATTCCAGCTGAGAATTTCACCAGCACTGAGTTGAACAAGGTAATTGTCGTGGGTGTCCGATGTAAAAGAACCTTATTAAATATTTCTGTGATGCATTATCTTCATTGTGTCGACTCAAATTCAGTTTGTGATGCATTACAACCACTGGCTCCTTTAGTGAGCACTGCCTGCTACTCCTCTTATATTGCATGCTTCTGACTTGATCCTTGGCTACAGAAAACTGCTGAAAATGTCACGTTTTCAGGAGGAGGAAAAGAGATGAGGAGCTTTTCCAAAGGCACTGCTCCTGTGAAGTCCAAGTGGGTCAGCCTGCCTATGGAAGAGAGATTATCACTTAATGTTTCTTCACAATAATGGGTGGGAATGACAAAGTTTTGTCATTATTCACAGAAATCCTAATATGAGCTGGAGTAGGAATGTTTGCTTGCAAATGAGAAAGAAGATATTTACAGTACGTGAATCTTAGATTATGCTTCTGGATATATTTTTCCACTCTCCTGTTACTCACAAGTTCTGCAGAACGACTTAATAAATGTCCCTTTCAATAAATAATAGCTCTGGCTGCCAGAGTTGAGATGAAGTGAAGTTAAAATTGGAAGGCTTTTGGAGAAAGAAGAAAACAACCAGAGAAGTTATGCAATTCTGCTTTTGTCCAAAACACTGAGAACATAAAGATGCTATCTATGGATGTGAGGTGTTCTCTTTTGGTCTTCTATGTGGTTATCAGGTTAGAACACTGCCAGAGCCAACCAAAGAAGACACAGATATGTTTCTGCCTAATGCCCCTTGCATATTGTTGTTTAAAGAAACATGAAGCAGTGGCAAGCGAGGAAGGAATCTGACAGCATGGAACACGGTGTGCTTAAAATCATGAAAAACATCCACTTGAGAACAGAAAATCCCAACAAGAGCAGCCAAGGTTCGTTTGCAAAAGAGAAGTATCGCTAAAGTAGGCGTATTTTTATCTGGAGAAATTAACAGACCTTTGATTGGAAGAATTTGAATATTCCTGGAGAAGTTGTGATCAAAAGTCATTAGCAAAAAAAATAGAAATATAGTGGAAACCTTTAATGGTCCTACTGGGTCTCCTTTTTGGAAAGCTCTCCAGGGGCCATTATAGTGCTGAGGTGAGTTTGGGTGTGAGTGGAGGTTTGGCTGCAGCAAGGGTCACTGCTCAGTTCTCTGAGTGCAGTCTGACAGATTTTGCTGAGCTCGTGTGTGCTCCATTGCTGGGTCAGCTTGCATATTCTGCACGGTGTATTTCATGCTGCTTTACGCTCCTGTGACCCGGATGAATTTAGCAGGGCGCTGAGCAGCAGGTTTCCTGTGTGTGCTTCTTGCACTTCTGCCCATCTTAATCCAGTTCTGTGCACTGTGATGCGGTCTGTGGTTACAAATCAAATAATATCAAATCAAATAATTTATATCAAATAGTAAGACCTGCCTTCTCAAATGCTGTTGCATTTTGTGACTTTTTTCAGAATTTTTTTTTACTTACATATCTCGTTTATTATATCTAGTTCAAATTACTGCAGCAAATAGGGATTACTAATTGTAATGGATCTTCTTGATGTTTTTCACGATGGTATCTAAATGCCTTTTAACTTTAAATGTGTCTTCACAGTATTGCAAAGTCTTTTCTTCTCAGTGCATTGATGCAAAGCAGGGAAATTAATGGCAAAGCTATCAAAACTCTCCACTGCATCTATATATTCCACAGTGACAAAAAACAAATTTTCAGCTTGTCCCAGTAAAATAATTAGAAATATCTTCTTCAGCCACCCACCAGGTTGCAGATGGATATTCCAGGCTGTTGGTGTTTTTTTTCCCCATGATGCTGAACTGAAGGAGCCTCTGTTGGTCACCATGCCTTATGTGGGCACTCACACTTCATGCTGTCCATAGAAACGTCAAATGTTAGCACAAAAGCTGTTGACCTTTTCAGCCTAGCAGCCCCAGCTGAAGGATTTTTTTTTAATACATATATATATTTAATAAGACCTCCTATTCTGACTTGCATTCTCAAGTGTAATCGGGCCTTTTTGTATATTTGGTGCCAACATAACCCTGTAATTTCAATACCTGTTTTCAAACCATAACCCGCGGTCAGCCTTTCTTTTGTTGGAGTTACCTGAGCTAAAACTTCAGCCTTTTCTCGTTATAGATTCTTCGCCTTTATAACCATCTTAGTGAGCCTTTCTACGACCATTCCAATTTTCATGTATCATCCACGAATATAAACTGTGCTCAGAATTTTTTCAGTAACATCTGAGTGTGCCTTACCTGGCCATCAGATCACATTATCTCCTTCATTTTCTGTGGTGTGTGGTAATTCTGTGACCAAATATGCTTTCAAGTCTTTGTCCTTCTCCATTAACTAAGATGAATTCCCGTTTACAGGAATGTTGGCTGTTAGTCCCTGGGTGAGCAGCCTCACGCTTTGCAGTCTTCTTATTACTGCATTCCACCCCTGCTGGTCCCGCCCTCGGAATTCCCATCTTGTTCTAAAACATTGTCTGATTTTCCTCCACGTCTTTTCCCCTCCAGGTGAGAAATGAGCCTTGGACCTCTCACTGCGCTGGCTACTCCATACAGATGCATACATATGTATAACGTACATGTACACATCTATACATATGTATAAAGTAATCCTTAAGAAAATCAGTCTGAGAATAGCCAAAATAAATAAAAGGGTACAGTGGGAAGGAGGCGAATCTGGAGGAAGACATGGAGAACACTGCAGCATGCAGTGATTGCATTCAGGAACTGAATTTTCCAGCCGCTGGGCTGAACTGTGTTTCCTGAAAGAAAGAAAACAAGCGATGCTTAGAACACTTTGTTTCATAATGTGTGTTGTTACACTGGTTGCCTTTTGGAGCACCTTTCACTGAGGTATCTGATTCCCAAGGCAGGAACACAACTGGCGACCTTGGGTGGTTTTCTGCTCGGTGTGCTCTGCCTTTGTTTTACTGAAGGTGCCTGTGATAGTATCAGCCCTTATGAAGAAGTAATATTGCTAAGGTTTGATTGTGGGCCTTCTCAAAGTCAGAGATAACAGCTAGATAAAAAAATGACCTTGTTTCTCAGCTCCAGTAATGAGTTCCAAACGTTCTGGTGAAGCCAGTCTAAGTGCAAGTGAGCTTCTGTGAGGTACGAACTCATGAAGCTAAGAGCTGCTTCTGGTACCACTGCGCAAGATGATGGAACGGAGGCCTTAAAAAGCGTCACATCCCTACATGCAGACTGCGGCTCCCCGTGTGGGTTTGACTACAGGATTCAGACTTTGACATAAATCCAAATTTATGGATAGCTGTTGAAAGGTCGATGAGTAAAATTTCTGCCTGGCCCTTCCATGATCAAGTGTTTCAAGGCTGGTCGACATGCTGTTTATCCGGAGTGTTTGTTTATTGAGCTTATTTATCTGTGCCTGCCTTTGCACATTTGAAATGAAAGGACATCAGTAAGTGTTCCCCTCATTGCATGAATGTTTAATAGTTTGTGTGTTCTTTCTCTAAATTAAGTATTGTGTTTGTGCCCAATTTATATCAACAAAAAACTCTTAAAATCAATTTTTGAAAGAGATTTTCAAAGCATATCATGCGACTGAGTCACAGCTCTGGATGAAGTGAGCTATTGTAGAATCTCATATAAAATACTGCAGTGAATTTGCCCAATCGAGGTATTTTACCAATGAGCACAGATTCAGCGCACCTCCCCTGGAGATTTCAGTCCACCGTGATCTGAGTTCCCACCTCAGGTGAACTTCTGACTTTTAGAAACCCAAAATCTTCAGCTCTTTTCAAAAGATTGTGTTATCAATGCACAGATACTCGTTGTCTTGAGTGAGGAGCTGCTGTGGGCGTTATGGGCGGATCCTGCAGAGCACATGGCCAACTTTGAGGGAGTAAATGCTTAAAATCCCAGGCACTGCTGCTGTCTGAAATCGCGCACGCACTGAAGCACTCTGGCCGCCCGGGGCCGATGCGCTGCGCGTGGTGCAGGACCGAGCTCTGGGGAGCACAGGCGAACCGCGCGTCCGAATCTTCTTTCTCCATTTTAAACGTGAGGCTTAATGCAGAAATCCTGACAGATGTCTAATTAAAATAGTTATTTCAAAAGCGAGGAATACAGCGTGTAAAGCTGACACGCCGGGTTTCTTTCTGGCTCTCCCGGCATCCGAGCTCCCTGCTCTACAGCCGTAGTGCAGCGCTTGCCGCTCTCAGTTCTGCTCCGTTCCTGTGCGATCCTCTTCCATCTTTTCCAGCTGCTTCATTCTGTTTGGAAAATGGCAATGTAGAATGTGTTTGGTGTAACCTTAATCCTGACCAGCATCTGGGCTCCGCTTGAAAAAAAAAAAAAAAAAAAAAAAAAAAAGCAGCATCTACTGCAGGGAAGGTCTGTGTGTGTGCTGCCCTGATCTGCAGAACAAAGTTGGGAAAAAACACCAAACCAACAACCGAAAATAACCGTAGCAAATAATATTTTTTTTCGAATTGACATTTTAATTAATTGGAGGTTTTAATTAATTGTAGGTTTTAAGGTATTCTCCTGTACACAGGACAAACTGCGGGGCTGGCACTTGTCCCCTCACCTCTGTCCTGTACGTCATGCAGAGGCAAAGCGGATTTGCACCATTTCAGAGAAAGAGAGAAAGGAGAGGGGAGCTGTCTGGAAATTTACTCACAAAATATGGATAAGTTTAATGCCACCGTTAAAAAAATAATAATAATGTAATGAACTGAAATTCCTGCGCGATGCCTTACGGCATTTCCTTAATAAACTTTTACGGGCCTTGCAGTGGTACCCAGCAGAGGGATGTTTCATTCCCCCGCAGCGAGGCTCTCGGTGTGAGCGCGGCTCTCCCGGCCCGCACGGGGGGGCGAATCGCCTTTGAAAATCCGGCGCTCGGATCTCTGCAGCACCTGGAGATCGCGCGCATGACTCCGTAATTGTGCGCCCTGCGGAGCGGCTTTGTGTTCAGCCACACGTTGAAATCGCCGCTTCAGAGCCAGTTCCGATCGCTGGGGTGTGACTCCTAATTACAAAGCGTGGAATAACGCTTCTCAGCCAATTGCGCTTCCCTGATGTTCCCCCCACCTCTCCTTTTCTTTATTTCTTTTTTTTTTTTTTTCTTTCTGTTTGATTTTCGCGACCCAGAAGTCGGTGGCACAGTGCCGCATCTGCCAGCGCTCACTTAGGGCTGCTGAACTTCACTCCCCGAGCAGCCACAGAGGTCGCTTCTGAGCAGCACGAAACGTGGTTGGTTTGGTGGTTTGTTGTTTGGGCCCCCCCCCCCCATCGAGGCTCTCAGTCCCTCATGGCCACGGTGCAAAAGCGCGTTTAAATCCTTTACTCGGCTTTCCCACGTGGTGCGTTGCTGAGCTGCTGTCACAGCGCGCAGCGCGCTCATTTACACGGGGTGAATGCACTTGTTTCCTGCTTGCGCTGAGAACGCGGGAGGTGATGAACATCTTTAACCAAACGGCATTTCCAGGACAGCATGGGGAAAAGAAAAAAAAAAAAAAAAAAAGTGGGAAAAGCTGGTGTGTGCTGGGAGACAAAACCCGGCTGTTCGTGCTAATATAGGACGTGTTAGATGTGTGTATGAGCACTGAAGCGGCGCTGGGAGGAGGGGGTGGGGAATTTTTTGGTCATCTTTTCACCCCGTTCAGAGCTGCCGGTCTAACCGTGCCGTGGTTCAGCACTCAGCAGGGAGAAGGGAAGAGGGGACCCAAAATTGCATCTGGTCTGTAGACCTTGCTGTAATTTCTAATGGAAGGTGTCCCTTACCTTTAATTAATCAGTTTAAATAGACCTACGGCTCACTTGATTTCACTTAAAGGCCTTTTTCCCGAGGTCTCTAGGAGGCACCCTGCATCGAGCAACGAGATAAAATCTTGGCAAAAAGAGCACCAAAGGATGTGAACCCCTCGGAAAATTCCACTTCCTGTATACTAATGCTTGTCCTTGGGTCTCTCACTCATTCCCATGCATTTAACAAGGGATTTGCGCCTGGGGCTACAACGCTAACTTTCTAAATAAATGCCGTGTCGCAGAGAATAACCGAGCTCGCCACTTTCCGCCTTTTGCAGTTAATAGGTCGGTACGATCTGCGTCTCCTCTCCTCCTCCCTCCCTCCATTTTATTTCTCCTCCGTTTCTTTTTCAGCAGGCTCAACTCTCTCCTGCTGAACTTGCTATGAACAAAAGGCTCCGTTCCAGATCCAGCCCGGAGTTGCCGTGAGAAACTTCACTGCGAGCGCTGTCTGTGCGCTCCCTCCCTCGCCTGCTCGCTCCCTCCCTGGCTCGGTAAAATGGCAGTGCGAGAGCTTTATGAAAAGGGTGAAAACCCTCCTTTCTCGGCACCGGGCTCTCCCGCAGCTTTCCCCCCCCCCCCCCCGTAGCCCCAGTCGTGACTCCTGAACTCAAACTTCTCTAAAAACACACTTTAGGAGGGCAGAATTTCACGGCAGGGAATATTTTTTTTACACTCCTCTGAAAAGAGCAGCTGAGGGTGGGAGAAACGCAGAGGGACAGACTTGCTGGGAATCGATGCCTCTCTGAGCGCTGGTGAACTCTGCCGATTTCACCTCCCTCCGTAGTATCGCCAGTTCCCGAGGACTTAAACAGAATAATAGTTTGCTGCGGTGGGAAAATCCAGGCCCGGAGTTGAGATCTTTCTCTTTTAGCAGCAATGAAAGCCTTTTTAACTCTTCCAAGTGGGGTTTGCAGTGCGATGTGCCTGATGGGCAAACCTCCCCGACAGCTCCTAAATCTGGTGGGGGTCTGCACAGATCAGACGGTTGGCTCCCGATCCAGTGCAGGGATTTGTGCAGGCTCCGGTCCGCGTTTTCTTTCTCCCTCCCCCCCCCCCAATTTATTTATTTATTTATTTAATTATTTTTTGTTGTTGTTAAGTAGATTTACTCCTCCAAGAGCGCTCAGAAGCAGAGCTGGTGTTCGACAGCGGCTGTGGAGCCTTGTGTGCATAACCGCCCATACAAAACACGCCACAAAGCTCTCCTCCCCAGCACTTTATTATTATTTTCCTTTTGGAGGTGTTCCGCGTTCAGAACATCCGTGAATTCTGCCCGGAATTCATAAATTCCAGCTCCGTTTCTTTCAGCCGCTCCCCGCGCAGCCCCACACGCGCTCCTGCCCCGCTCCCACCGCCCCCGCCTCTTCCCTTCCGCTCTGCGAACTCCGCTTCGCCTTTTACTCCTCCTAGCGAGGGCCGCTGAAATAATGCGTTTCCTTCAGTCAGGCACAGTCCCCTTTCCTCTCCTAATATGCATCCAAACTTTCTGCAGCGCACCGTCAAATGTTAACAGCAGGCGCTATGAGCGCGGCCGGGGCAGCGGCTCGTCTTTGTAACCTTTGGTGCCGGCGCGGTGGGAAGCTGCAAATCCCGTGTAAAATCCACTCCTGCCTTTGAGCCGTGCTGCTGCGTTCAGCGAACTGACGGAGTTACCTTCTGCTGAAACTCCACTTCAGTTCGCAGTGTAGAGCTCTCTCGCTGCGTGCCCTTGAGCCATTGTGTCAGCGCTGGAGAGGGAGATTATACAATATCTTGACATTTCTTTTTTTAAGAGGATAAATAAGCATTGTCTTGTACAATGCCCCGGCACATCAGCCACTCACAGCAAACGAATAATTCGAATAATGTTAAGCTTAGTGGTTATGAAGCTGCAACGAGAGCGCTTAACCTCGACATGACAGTGGCTAAAATACTGGAAAGAATGGGCTGGACAAATAGAAACTTATTTATAGGAAATGTAATTTTCTTTAGCAAAACTACTCTCAGATAAGCTGAGGAACTGTAGATAACCTTTCCTCATTCCACTCCATCTTTTGCGGTGTGCTCTGTGAATTATAATGGATGGGTCTCTTGTTCTTGGGTCCAGTCTGCATATCTCAGCATACTGTGCCTCACGGTAAAATGGAAGAGCATCCTTCTTCAGCCAACTGCGCTCACTGCTTCTCGGCTTCTTTCATTCTAGCTCAGTTGTGCTAGTTAATACTTTACTGTAGAAACTCTATCCAATTCCTGAAGTAATCCAGTCCATGTTTGTAGCGGGTTGAAAGGCTGGGGATAATGATAACTTGTGTGAGCAAGTGAGAGAGAGGGAGCGCGGCTGACTTTAGTCTGGTTTCCATGTCAACGATTCAGTCCATATTTGCCATCACACAGTTGGCAGAGCCTTTTTTTTTTTTTTTTTTTTTTTTTTTCTTTTTTCAGGAGGGGGACACTACTCCTGTTTCTAGTTCTCTAATCTACACCAGGTTTCCTAACCTGCCTCGGTGCCAGGATAAATGGCACGGCCACCTTCATGAAGGAGACTCCACTCAGGAGGAGCCAGCCTAGTGGCGGTGGCCTGCAGTGCCATGTGAGCTCCGAGCTGGCCCCAGCCTATCTGAGCAGCCAGGGGCTGAGCCTGTTGTGGAGGAAAGCGTGCTCAGCACTCAGGGAGATGGGGAAGGGACGAGTGCTGCATGCTACTTAGCAGAGGCCGCAAAGGCTGAGAAGAGTGTTACCGTGTTGCAAAGAAAAGCCTTGTCCAGTTCTGTAGCTTGGAGAGATGGGAGTAACAGCATGGGATGACACAGCTGGCAGGAGAATTTTCACCTATTAGATGGAAATGTTAAGAACTGTACCATCATCTGCCTTCCAAACCCCACGGTTGGAGTTTCATTGAATGCCTTAGTATTTAGTAACATGCCAAGGCCTCATTGATGAGGCATATTCCAAAATCTGCTTTAGCTTTCACAAACATTTGGTAAAGTGAGTGTCTCCTTATTGTGTGGGTGGCTGGGGAATCCAGTCTGCTTTTCACATTACAGTCAACACCAGGTTTCATAGTCTGCCATAGTGCTCTTTGAAGAAGGTTACGAAAGGTTGACACATGTAGAGGAGCTGCGAGCGTGGAGTCTTTGGGTGCACCTGAGCTGAAACTTCAGCCCCGCGTCCATATCTGGTAAACTTTTGGTGGTGCTTGGTTGGACAGCGGGGCGTCCTGGAGTAGACAGCAGCTTCAGAGTTGAGAAGATTGTCCTCAAGACTGTGAGGCAGAATTGCCTCCAGTTTGGTTTTCCAGGTTTATAGCAAAAGAATCATCTGGAAAAGGGTGTGTTAGTGCTGTGGGCCGCTACAACCCACTGCAGACACTGGTAAAGCTGCTCTCACAGGACGTAACCTGATGTCTTAAAAGCTTTCCCTCCACCTGCTCCTACAACTTGGGGCTTGGTTAAATAAGATGCTCCTCCAAGGAGAGCATACAGACCAACTTTTTGCTCTAGCATTTTTCCACAGTTCTGCTGTGATGGAACCTCATCCATGTGGCACAGTCAACTGTGGCAAAGCTGTTTTTGTTTGAGAGCCTGTAGGGCTATTTACCACTCTAGAATACATGTAAAATATTGCTATTTATTGCCCCTGTCCAGGCTCCCTTCCTACTTTCAGCTTTGGAATAAACCTTTTGTTCTGCTACCCACATTCTAGATAATACTTTCATATGACAGGCTTCATAATGAGTGCGAACGTTGAGTTGATAGTAGCAGACACTGAGATCTTCAGTTCATCCAGCAGCAGGCATGGAGCACTGGCAGTGATTCTATTCTTCCATGCATTGGCTTGCATCTTGCTCTGGACTCAGGTTTCCCCACTGCCATCAGTGTTGTCAAAATGAGATTTCTCCTGATTGTGTCCTGCTGGTTGTTAAGGCCTGGGCTGAGCTCAGTGCTTTCATCCCTGTACAGCTGGTAAGTGAGGTTATTCTGCCCCATTTTTTGTTTTGAGGTGGTGTTCTAAAACAGAAGGTCCCCTTCAGAAGCTTCTTCTGATTCCCCACCTATTGTATTCCAACCTTTTCCCTCTGTAAAGTTGTATTTACTTAAACTTCACTTTTCCAAACATTCCGGTATTTCAGAGGAGACCCCTTCCCTCTCAGCCAGCCAGATTTGGGATGCATGGCTGAGGTCTAAAGCGTATAGGCATTCTCTCCATCACTTCTGGGTGTTTTTTTTTTTTACCGTGTAACTAACTCATTCTTCTGTATCTTTGTCACAGACCTGTACAAATTACAGTTAAAAACATATCTAGAGAAGCTGCTGGGACAGGACAGCTCGTGTCCAGCACTGAGATCCAGGTACATTCCTCTCCTCCTCCTTCTGCTCTGGGAAAGTCTGGGGGGACAGAGGAGATGGGAATCTGGGTCTGAAATGGTTAAAGAAAAGCATGGCCTAATTCTTAGTTCACCTTTTGACAGTTGGGGAGCTCCAGCACCTCATGATCCTTGAGACCGCGGGAGCATCCCGGCCCATTGCTCAACGTGATGTGTCTAGACACGTTCAGGTGGTTGCGGTTCTCCCCATTCAACCACCCTTGAGGGAGTTCCTGGTCCGCTGCCCACTGCTGTCGCTTTGGCAGCAGTGGGAACAGGACTTTCTTGGATGTCCGTGTTGTGCAGCTCTTGTCTTGGCGCGCTGCCAACTGCTTTTCCAGAGGGACACAACCAGCAGAGAGGAAATGACAATCTTTAGTAGTTGGTAAAGGCTAATTCTAAATGGAATTTCTAGGGACAAGGAAGAGGCGCTTCGTTGACCCACGGCCCACCTCCTCGCCGAGCCTCCAGAGCCGCCGGCGAGCGACGCAGCCGCGCGCCCTCCTCGCTCTTCCTCAAAGGTGGGCTGCGGCCCCGTGCCCCCGCCGCCCCCGGAGGTGCCCGGAAGGTAAGGGAGGCCGCTCCGAGCGCGGCCGCATCTCCCGACCCCCGCCCCGAGCCGGGCGGCTCAGCCAGGGTCGTGCCGCCGCCCGCCGCCCCGACCCCGCCCGCTCCCCGGCCCCGGTTCCGCCGCGCCGCCCCACGCCGGTCGGCCGGGCTCGGCTCCGCGGATCCGCTGCGGGTTTTGCGTGCGGCAGCCTCCGCTGCGCCGAGCCGCGAGCGGCCGGGGCCGGCCCGCTCCTCCTTTGTGAAGGGGGGGAGGCTCCCGTCCGGGCCGCGCCGCGCTCCGCTCCGGGTTTGGCAGGCGGCCGCGGCGCTGGGTAAAATGGCAGTGCTGAGCCTCGTGTCGGAGTGAGCCCCGCTCGGCGGACCAGAGTCGGGAGCTGCCGCGCGGCTCGCCCAGCCCGGCCCCGCCGCCGCTCGGCCCGGCTCCGGGGACGGCGCCCGCCCGCCCGCCGTGTCCCCCCCCTCCTTCCCTCCCGCCTCTCCCGCACCGGGAGCCCCGTCCCGGGTCCCCCCCTCCTCCTCCTTCCCCCCACTCTCTCCTCCTCCTCCCCTTTCTCTGCCGGCTGCAACCGAGGAGGTACAGCGGGGCCAGGCCCCGGGAAGCCCAGCCCAGCGGAGCCCTCCCCGCCTCGCCAACCAGGCCGGGGGGGAATGAGCCCCCGCTGCCCTGAAGAGCCCGCCGCCGCCTGAGCGGGGAGCAGCAGAGCAGCGAGGCCTCACGCCGGCCGGCCAGGCAGGGAGCAGCTCGGGGGGGACCGGTCCGGGGGGGGGGGTGGCCGGGCGGGGAGTGGGGGGATCATGGCTGCTCAGGTCGCCCCCGCCGCCGCCAGCAGCCTGGGCGCCCCGGCTCCGGCCGAGCTGAAGAAAGCGGAGGCGCAGCAGCGGGATTGTCCCCCGGAGGAGGCGGGGGGTGAGGCGGCGGCGGAGCGCGGCGGCGGCGGCGGCGGCGGCGGCGGCGAGAAGCAGGCGGAGAGCGAGGGCCCCCCGGGGAAGGAGCTGCAGGACGGGGCCGAGAGCAACGGAGGGGGCGCAGGGGCCGAGTCCGACCTGAAGAGCTCGAACGGGAACCCGGGCCCCAGGCCCGCCGCTGCCGCCGCCACCCTGAACAATAACCTCCCGGAGCCGCCCGGTGGCGGCGGCAGCAGCGACGGGGTGGGGGCGCCGCAGCAGCAGCAGCCGCCGCAGCAGCCTCCCCCTTCCCACCCGGCCGCCTTGCCCCCGCCAGCCTACGGCTTCGGGCAGCCCTACGGCCGGGGCGCCCAGGCTGCTGCCGCCGCCGCCGCCGCTGCGGCCGCCGCCGCTGCCTTCCACCAACATGGCGGACAACAAAGCCCTGGCATGGCAGCGCTGCAGAGCGGGGGCCTGGAGCAGTCTTACCCGGGGCCGGCGGGAGCCCCCGCGGGGCCGCCCCCTCCCCAGAACTCGCACGGCGGCGCCGAGCACGGCTTCCCCAACCACCAGTACAACTCATACTACGCGGCCGGCGCCGGGCGCAGCGCCGGCTCCTACCCGCCTCCCCCCCAGGCCTACGCCCTGAGCTCCCCCCGGGGCAGCGCGCAGAGCTCCGCTCAGGCGGCCGCCGGCGCCAAGTCCCCCGCCGCCGCCGCCTTCCAGCAGCAGCGCTTCGGGGTCATGGGGCCCTCGGCCGCCGGCGGAGGAGGAGGAGGAGGGGGCGCCACCCCGCAGCCCACGGCCACCCCCACCCTCAACCAGCTCCTCACCTCCCCCAGCTCCGCCCGCGGCTATCAGGGGTACCCCGGGGGCGACTATAGCGGCGGGCCACAGGACGGGGGAGCCGCCGGCAAGGGCCCGGCCGCCGCGGATATGGTCTCGCAGTACGGCGGGGGCAACGGCCAGGGCTGGGCCGCAGCGCCCGGCGGGGCTCCGCCGAGGAGTCACCACGCGCCCATGAGCCCCGGGAGCAGCGGCGGCGGCGGCGGGGGACAGAGCCTCGGCCGGAGCCAGCAGGTAAGTGCGGGACCGCGTGGGGCGGGCGGCGCGCCGGGTGGGGACGGGACGGAGGGGCCGCGGCCGCCGGGCTGGGGCTGGGGCTGGGGGCGGCGGGGGAGAGAGGGGGCCTGAGGAGGAGGGGGGCTGGACGGGACGGCGCCTCTGCCGTGGCTTCTCCCCGCCGGGTCGGCGCTGCTGGGGAGCTGCCATTGTCTGTGCCTGCTCGCTCGCTCTAAAATGGCTGCCTCGCCGCCTTCCCTTCCTCCCCAGCCTTTGTGCGAGGCGCCCGGAGAGCGGCCTCCGTCCCGCGGGGGTGCTCCGGCGAGTGGGAGGGGGGAGAAACGGCGGGCGTCCCCGGTAAGACCAAGCGAGCAGGCACAGACAATGGCAGCTCCCCAGCAGCGCC